TGGCAGGTCGCTCTCTGCCAATCATGGCCCCGGGATGAAATAGCACAAGGCATGTCCTTGCCCTCTCACCTGCTGTATGAGGCCTGGACTCTGGGGGGCTGGGGGGGGGTGCCTAGAGATTACCCTGAGGTTTTCCTTGAGGAAGGAGGCACTAATCGCCCCTGTGCCCTGATTGGCCTCAGGTAGATTTTCCCATGATCCTTCCTGCTCCTCGGGCTGCGGCCCTGACTCTCCCATGCGTGGATGAGAGAGGCTGGAAGGCTCTGTCCCTGCAGGACAGGTGCTACCTGAGGGCCAGGCAGGCCCTGGACCGATGGGAGAGAACTTGGGGAGCAAGAAGCGAGGGGTGTCAGGAGGTCGCGGGCTCTTCTGAGGCCGCCGCAATTTACCGTAATGGCTGTTCTGCTTCAGTTTCCCCCTGGGGCTCGGAGAAAGTTGCCAGTGATCTGGATTTGGCTCACGGTCAGTCTGGGATGTGAGGTCTTGCCCGTTCTCCTCCGTAAAGTTTGTCTTGGATGGACTACGTCCCATGAGCAAACCCTGGGTCTGCAGAGTCCCAAACAAGCAGCCTTCGGGGTCCCAGGGGGCCCGCCCAGCCGGGCCGCTCCAGGATTCCTGCGTCCTCCGAGAGCAGGAGGGGGAGCTCACAATTCACAAAAATATCCAGGGACGCGGATCCCGGAGGGCGGGAGTCGGGAGCCCGCGCAGGGGGCTGCGGCCCAGGCTGGAAACCTGGGTTCTCTGAGTGGTGCATGGAGAGAGGAGGGGTCCATCCTGTGGGGCTGGTCACCTCTGAGGGCAGCCTTTGTAGCTTTGTTTCCTCTTTCACACTTTCCTGTCGTTTCTAATTGTGTGTGTGTGTGTGTGTGTGTGTGTGTGTTAAGCTTATAATGCTTTTATAATCTGAAAGAAAAGCAATAACATTTTTTTAAGTCTAGAAAGCTAGTGGGAACTAATGGAAAACACAGGAGAGAGTCAGAAATAGCAAAGTTCCAGGCAAGGCAGAACTACGCAGTGCTAGGTCTGCTGAGGTTGTCGTCTCTCCTGTGATTTCATAGGTAAGGCTGCTGAGATGCTGGGAGTGGAGCTGCCCTGCCCGGGGTCACTGGGGGAGCCGGCTTCAGGACGCCAGGTTCTAACCCCCAGTGCAGGGTCGGGCCCTGCCGAGCCCGGGGCACAGTGGGAGACCCGGATTCTGCCCTCAAAGCTGAACAGCCTTAATCCCAGAGGCTCATCTAGAGCAGGGAGTAAGCCGGGCAGAGGGCTATGTGAAGGACTTACGTAAGTGACTGCTGGGGGTGGGGGGCTGTTAACCGAGATAGGTCCCAAGTCCTGTGCAGGGAGGACACTGCGGCCTCAATGCCGGTTTCTATGGGGAGGGGGCATCTGAGGGTCGCGTTAGAAAGAGAGCTCCGAAGCCTGCCTTCTGCCTGGCCTGGGGGAGCCCGCTTACAAGGCAGGGTAGTCCCCATCCTGGAGACCACCCACCAGGCCAATGTGGGGGAGTCGGGGAGCAGGGGAGGGGGCTGTCCAGGGAGTCTGGGGAGGAGGTGCCCACCCGGAGGGGCCCCAGGCCACTATGGTTTAATTCACTTCCAAGGTGTGAGGAAGGGAGAGCAGTGAGGGGCAGACAGTGGGAGACGGTGACGGGCAGGAGAGGCCTGGAGCCCGGCCGGTTGGCGGGGCTGAGCTAGGATAGGCAGCCGGGCCATCAGTCTGGGTCACACCTTTAGCACAAAGGGGTTCTTTCGTGGGCAGCTTCAGGGTGGGGGACCACGGCAGTGCCAGTTATTAGTAATATCAGTGATACAGCCGTCCACCCAGCAGATCCAAAAAATGAGAGGCTTAGTTTAGAGAAGATCATACAAGGCGCAAAAAACTATGTGGCCTTGAAAAAGGCTCACCAGCCAGGGACCTCACTGCCCAGGAAGGAAGTAGCAGGAAGTCCCCAGAGGGGGGCTGGAGAAGGAAGGGAACTAGACTTCCAGGAACCACCTATCCCCACCCAGTGCGATTTTAGAGATCTCCTCCCTCTGTGTTCTTGGACAAGGGTAGGCTAGCTGTGTCCTCCCCTGAGGACTGAGCCCTCACCAGCCAAGACACCCGACCACTCCAGGTGGCTTGTGCTGGAACTGAATTCAGGGGCCTAGCTGTGGGCAAGGCTCCCAAAGGGGGGCGGGGGGGGCACACAGTGCTGAGCTCCAGGGCCAGGGAACGCCCCCCGGGACATGGGTGCTGCCTCTGCTGGGAGCTGCTGTCACCTCCTGCGGCGTGTCATTTCCCTGACCTCCAGCTCCTTCTGCACAGCTGACCCCTACTGCTGTGGGTAACTTCCCACCAGCGTGCAAGCCCCAGCTCCTCCCCCCCAACCCCCCTCCCCCCGCCTCGTTCCAGGCCCCTGTCCTGGGGGCTCCAGCCACCCGGTGTGGCAGCCTGGTTAGCGCATGATCAGTTATGTGCTGCTCATTAACGGAGCACGCTGGCTCTCGAGGGCTCAGTCAAGCGGCTGCCTGTGGCGCGTGGCTGGGAGCATCACCACCCTCCGGTCCCATCCATGCCAGGGAGGGAGCAGACCGCAGAGATCTGTCTTTTCCTGCAGCACTTGGTTGTGGGGGCTGGAGCCAGGAGAAAGGCCTCAAACCGCAAGCCTTAGGGACCTTGGTGTCTGCCAGGGGCCTTACCCTCGCCTTGCCCATGAGGCCATCCTGGACACTCGGTTGTCTCTTTTACAGGCGTAACCGCTGCCCTGTGACCCCACCCACTTACTCTGCAGCTGCCACAATCCCCCATTGTGCCCCTAAGTAAACGAGCCTTGGACAGAATGGAACTGTTACTGTAGGTCAATGTATAGGAGCCTATTTGGCTGAGATTTGTTAGGACATGAATGAACTACCCCAAGCAGGCCTCACACCCCCTGAAAAAATGCCCCTTGACCCTGCGGTATTGCTTAGGCCTGTCCCAAAGGAGGCTCTGGGAGGTGGTGACAAGCTTGGGCAGGAATCTGTGGGGCCTGTCACAGAGGGCACACTTGGGCTGTGAGCCACCGTCTCCTACGGCCAAACTGGCCTTCAAGCCTCTGCCTCAGGCTGGCCTTCCCTGACCTCACCCCACCCCGGTCCTCCTTCACGCTCCTGCGACTTGAGAAATGCCCCTTGGTGGTCAGGTTGCAGTTGCATGTAAAACGTGGTTTTTTTTGTCGTCGATGGCTGACTCCTCACTAGATTCTGGCTCTGAGTGGGTGGGGTGTCTGTTTCTTGTTTAATGCCTAGTGCCTGGTGCAGGGCCGGCACACGGCAGGTGTTAGTAAATCTCCATGGTTGCACGAACGAATCAATAAATGAATGAACGCAGGCTGAAAGACGTTGCTCCGGGTGCTTCTTGAAGGAGACCCCACAGCTCCTCAGGCTGTGCCCCAAAACTCCCAAGGGGGTGTGCGGGCCAGCGTCTCTGCTGGGGACAGTGCTGCATTAGGTCTGCAAGACAGTTGCTCCACAAGGGTGTCCACGGTGTGCAAGCCCAGAGGGACCCCATGTGCCCACGGTGGGAGCAAGGGGTGCGCAGCCGGGGCCTCCGCCGGGCGTGGGGCCCCTGGGTCTGCCTTCCCAGTGCCTGTCCCGAAGGCCCAGTCCCCCGGAGCCCTTCCTCCCTCTGCATTGTCAGTCAGTGTCAGGGTCCGCCAGCATTTCCCAGCACCGGCCTCTTTGTTTACTGGCTAACGGACGGTTGTCCTTGAATGCGTCCCTTTCAAGCCGAGGGTCAGCGTCACTGCCTGTTCTCCCTCAGAGGCCGAGCCGCTCTGTCTCTGGTCCTGGGTGTTCTCCAGGGACTCCTGCCTGTGTCTCTCCGGAGGAGAGCCCATCTCTACGAGGCGTCTCTGTCTGCTTTTCTGGTGACACGTGGGGTCGCTGAGTCTCTTAGTGAGACCCCTCGGAGCCCCGAGGCTCCGGCTCAGGGTGGCTGGGGTTCCCGCTCACCTGGGAGGCGGGAGGGGCATGGCTGGGAAAGAGCACATTGCCCCTTAGAAAGGGACTCGCAGCCACTTCCAACCCGGGTCCCAAAGGCGCTGCCGTCAGCGCGGCTGGGGTCAGCGTGGCCTCCCAGCCAGGCCTGCAGCTCCCCAGGCAGGTCTCGCGTTGCCTTGGGGCAAATCCCCTCCTCGGCCCCTCCTGACCAGCCCCCTCGTGGGCAGGGCCCCTCTCAGCTCAGGGCCCCTTCCTGGAGTCATGCCCTCTGTCCCCTAGCAGAGTGTCCTCCACGTCTGGTGTGGTGCCTACAACTCCGGGCTCCTCCCCCAGCCCCTGGCCAGCACCACCCAGCTCAGGTCAGCTTCCCCAGGGCCCCCTCCCCAACCCCGGGCAATCGAGATGGCTCCACTGGGCTCCCCGATCCTGCGTCCCAGGATGCCCTTCCCAGTTCTGGCCCAGCAGTTGCTTCCCCCTTTCCCTGCCCCACAGCCCACCCAGTGCCCCCCGGAAAGACTTCAGCTGGGGGAGGGGTCCAGCATCCCGTCCTCTGCGGCCGCCTGTCCTGGGCAGCGTGCTCAGCCTGGCAATGTGGCGGCGGCGGGTGGGGGGGCCGTCTGGACACAGGCCCCTTTGTGCCCAGCCTGACTTGGCTGCTTGGTATGAAGCTCAGCTGCTCCCAGGTCCTCACCCAGGGAGCAAAGGCAACGCTTGAGGGGCCGGGCTGGGGTGCCCCCTGCTCTAGCTGCTCTCAGTGTCTCACCTGGCAGTCACTGGCAGCAGCTCCCCAGGTGGGATGGTGCCCTGGTCTGGGTACTCGGGGGCTGGGGAGGGAAGCCCCACTTGGCGCCCTCTGGCAGCCGCTCCTCCCTGCTCTCGCTTCTGCCAGGTCTGCTGTGGCTCCCGCCAGCAGAGACGAAGCCCAGTGTGGGGGGCGGGAGCTCGGAGGGTCCATGGTGTCCCCGCTGGGGGAGGAGCAGAGGACCAGGCATGGAAGCGAATGCCTCGCTGATGGTAACTTCTTTCCTGTCCCCACAGAATGGTGCTGTGCCCAGCGAAGCCACCAAGAGAGAGCAGAACCTCAAACGGGGCAACTGGGGCAACCAGATCGAGTTTGTACTGACGAGCGTGGGCTATGCCGTGGGCCTGGGCAATGTCTGGCGCTTCCCATACCTCTGCTATCGCAACGGGGGAGGTACCCAGTGGGCACAGGGCAGGGACCACCCGCTTGGATAGCGCCCACTCACCAGGGCCCAGGCCAGCCCCCCCCCCCCCCCCCCCGG